GTTATTTATTCATAAAAATTACTTACGCAGTTATTTATTTATAAAAATTACTTACATAGTTGTCTATTTATAAGAATTACTTACGTAGTTATTTATTTAGTAAAAATTACTTACTTAGTTATTTATTCATAAAAATTACTTACGCAGTTATTTATTTATAAAAATTACTTACGTAGTTGTCTATTTATAAGAATTACTTACGTAGTAATTTATTTATAAAAATTACATACGTAGTTATTTATTCATAAAAATTACTTACTTAGTTATTTATTCATAAAAATTACTTACATAGTTATTTATTTATTTATAAAAATTACTTACATATTTATTTATTTATAAAAATTACTTACGTAGTTATTTATTCATAAAAATTACTTACTTAGTTATTTATTTATTCATAAAAATTACTTACTTAGTTATTTATTTATTCATAAAAATTACTTACGTAGTTATTTATTCATAAAAATTACTTACTTAGTTACTTATTTATAAAAATTACTATATAGTTATTTATTTAGTAAAAATTACTTAGTTATTTATAAAAATTACTTACGTCAACATTTGACGATGTCCTCTTCAAGGTATACACTTATTTCGTTCGGCGAAACAGCGCTGCAGCTCTTCAGTTGAAATTGCTTTTATCATCCTCGTGTTGTTCACGATTCTTCCATAGTAAGAGCTTCTTTCAAACAATTACAAAACGTAATTTCAAACGATTACGAAAACATGTAACCTAATAAAAATTGAAAACGAACTGATAATTTTGATAAAACAATGGCTGATGAATGATTAATTTCTTACCATACAAGTGTTTTGTCACATTCACTTTGCTAGTTTGACACTGCTATATTAGCTATGTTCAGCGATATTATTATTCACTTATTTGTGTTCACTTATTACGTTCACTTATTTATTGAATGTTCGCATATTTATTGGACAAATGAAAATCTTATTCAGCCATTAATATATAATTGTTCTATGCAACCTCATCGATGACTGTTACGAGCGAATTCTTTCTCATCGATAATAATAAATCTTTAAATAGAATTCCCTTCTCATCAGTAATAATAAATTTTCGGTCACTCGTAATTTGGTCATTTTGTTTAACTTTCAATTCAATGTAGCTCTATGACAAATTTTCCTCACACAAAATATCCCCAATTTAAATAGTGGACAAGTTTCAGTTAGCGATTTTTCTTTTTCAGAAAAATTTTTTAATAACTCTTGTTTTTTGATTCTTCACAAAAACTGCGTCATCTGAACTTGGTTATTAATGTGACAGGAATTTTGTCAACTGAGCGAAACACGTCCCTGCGTTACTATATGCAATTTTCGAACGTCGCACTCGCATATACCGTAAAAAAAAAAAGAAACAGAAAAAACAGAAACATGTTTCGCCATTGGATCGATGTAAATGCTTAGAGAAAATCAGGCGGTATGGGACCTGATGTTTCACAGAGGAATTTTAAAAATTTTTTAGCAAGAGAGTGGATGGACTGTAAACTTAATGTACCTTATGAAATATAACAAGGGGATGCAAATATCAATTACATTACACGATATGAGAGAGAAATATGATGGTGGACTTGCAAGTCTTCTCACTTTGTTCTTGAACACTTCAGAATTATTGAACGCTACTAGTCCTTCGTCTTTATTTTTATTATTATATATCTCTAATTATTTTTATTCACTGACGTTTATGTAAAATCCGTTTTCATTTGAGAAGATATATTTTATATTTTATAATACGATATATTTTAAATTTCGAAACAGAAGATTATAGATTGTATTAAAGAAAAATTTCTTAGAAAAAATACAGTAACCTACTCCTCTATCCAAATGAAGTTCAAAGAAAAATAGAAATATGGAGAGGGGGTGTGAAAAAGTTAGAAGCGCGTTATTACACATTACGCAATACTTCGCATCATTCAGTTATTCTAAAAAGAAAAAATTTCACGGACAAAATCTTCGTCGAAAATTCGAAATACACTAACCTACCCCTCTGTTCAAATGAAGCTCAAAGAAAAATAGAAATATGAAGAGGGTGTGTAAAAGAGTTACGAGCGCATTATTACGCAATACTTCACATCATTC